TAACTGTACATGTTTGTTAAATAATTAATGCACAATAGAAAAAGTTTTGCAGCACTTGTGACAACCTGTATTTAACCTTTATATTTCTCTGGGTAATTAAGACAGAGAAGTCAAACTGTAAATCGTCTGCTGTGCGTGGCAGCCCACTTTGAACATTTCAAAGGAAAGAAAAACAAAATTGCAAGATCCGAGATGACACACTCTAATGGAGTCAAATCACATCATTAGTTACAAGTTTCTAAACTCACTTTTCTTTCCGTGAGAAGGTGGGTGGGGAGTTACGCGTCATAAAAACTGAAACAATGAGCTCCAATTGCCGAAATGCTCCATAAAGCAGAAAACTGCAGGCGAAATGCACAGTCAGGGGATAATACTGTGTCTTTTTTTATTATTATTATTTTTATTTTTTACTCGATTTTTTTTTTTCAACACTGGACCTAATGATGTGAGAATAGTTGATAAAAACAATTGATAAATAAATCTACCCTGCACACTGGAGAGCTGAACCCATCTTCTACAGGGCTCGTAGCGATGGATGCATATTTAATGAATCTCATGTTCATTTATTGTACAAATTTGTCACACTGTGGGATTAAAAGAATACACTGCATTAAAAATAAACACCATCTTGCACATCTGCCCACACAGCGGCGAGGCTTGACTTACGCGTTAAACACCAGGAACCCAAATCATAAGCAAACAAATATTAGTCCCTAATAAAACCTGTTTGTATCACTCATTACGTCGTGCAGTGAGGGCAGAACATAGTTATGATTGCTGCCCCCACCAGGGTCCTGTTGCCACCAACGTAAATGTTCCATGTCATTGCTGTATTCAGTCACTTTGGTTTAATAATTAATCAAAATAAACCTACAGCACTTGACAATAAGGTTTTTATATTCACCACTAATCAGACAACTCATTAGGCAGTAATGAGCCAACTCTGCCTGTTCCTGTCGTGTTTGGGGCAGGTTTGGCACATGGGGAGTGTGTCTGTGTGTGCACGTGTGCGTGTGTGTGCGTGTGTATTTTAGAACACAGAGCACACATGCAATCCCACTTGCATACTTACGCATACACACGCCAGCCAACACGTCTCTGGTCCCTTTGCAATTATGGCAGCATCTCACCCAGGAAGAAGCCCACTTACCCAGCTTTCACTTTATGAATAATTGATTGTTTGTGCCAGTGTTATATTTGTAAACCCACGCTTACTGTCTGATTAATAGTTTTCTAGACATACTCATTTGTTCAATTTGATTAGACTGTTAAATGCATTATTTATTAGCTTAAATGCTCTTGGGTTAATCATCACAAGGACGACAGGAAGACTTGGCATAAGGGTGCATCTGCATGCAAACAGACAAACTCTTACATTAATCCACTGACTGGTGTGGCAGCTGGACGTTTGGATTTGTGTGTGACTGTGTGAGCTTTTTTGGCCATCTGCCTTTTGTTTTCAGATTGTGACTATTGCTTGAACAGTGATACAATTAGAGGTTGTTGTTTTGTTTTTTGGGTTTTTCTTTCCGCTGCATGCAACAATAAACTTGGTTGAACCAACCAGAAATGGAGTCGTCACAGACACATAACATGTTACTGCGTCATGTAAACCAGGGATCCCCAACACCCGGTCTGGGCACTGGTACTGGTCCGTAGGTCATTTGGTACCTGGACACAATGAAAACATGTACTTCAGTTTAACTAATTTGCTTCAAAAGAATCCAGCCATTTTCCTTCACTTTTTTCATTAAAACATAGTTTTAAAGCAATGGGTCATTCAGACTCTGATACTGGAAAAAAAATTAAATAAATTAATGATCCTTCAACAATGGCGCGGTATTACTAAGACATGTTTTATATATTGGCATAAATAATTCATACTTTTAATTGTTGGTCTCATAATCTTTTTTGAATTGTGAGGTGGACGTTCTCACCCGAGCCTCAAATGTCTTTTACTAATCTTTACAAGAATCGTTAACATGTCATTGATCGTTTCTTTAAAAGAATGGTTGATTTTTTGCAAGACACTTTCACGCATTACACCAAACACCAAGCACTTTTACTGCCTCCATCAATTACTTGTCTGAGCATAATGGACTCTTTAAAAAAAAAAGTCCTTGCACAGAAAATGTTATATACAGTATATATCAAAAAAATGAATCCAGGTTGTCATTGTAAGCAAGCACAGAATATCCATGACCTTTATCATGGGTTTGTCTGCCTCAATATGTGGGTGTCTGCATCGTCAAAGGCCTTGGTTTCCAGAATGAAAGGGCACTTACCTGCCTCACTGCAATGGAGTTCTTTAAATCGAAAGTGGATTAGCGAAAGATAGAAAAATGCTTTGATGCTTGCCTTTAGTGTTTATGCATGTCCCCCAGTGTCACGTTTAATGGATAAAAAAACGTGTTTGCAATTTGGAACACGGTCCCCAAATGGCCCATGTGTCAGTAAAGCCATCTGCACCGGTTTGTTCCCTGATGTATGTACTCGATGTCACAACAGGGAATGGATTGAACAACTGCAGTTTCACTGGAGCTGTCAGAGATATTGGAAGCTTTATTTCCTACGGTATAGATGACTCACAGTATAAAATGAACTACGTTGTGCAGAAAAAAAAAGTTCTATGTTATGTTAGATTTGACTCGAGGGTGCTTGGGAAATTTGCACAGCTGGGAACAACCGTCCAACTAGAAGAGACTTATTTTGATACACATCCTCACACTGGAGACGTTTCGCATTAATGCCATTTAACAACTGAGCAATCGGCTTACACTCTTGACATTAATTAGCTATAGGTTCTTGTAGAGGACTTGTGTATGAAGTAAGATTAATTAGAAAGCTGTGATGAGTGAGGGTACTTGTTATATTTATTCAACATTTGTTGTGATCGTTCTGCTCTTGCCTTGTGATCACAGTTTCCAGATCTACATTAATAGGCCGCTCTGGGCTCGTTTTCTTTTTTCTTCTCTGTTGATTCACTTACATACAACGACTGCCGCTGGTTGTGATTTCTGGGCTAATTTAAAAAATATATATTAAAGGTGTGTAGGGGTGCGGAAGGAATCTGTCGATACCATAGATATCCCAATACAGGGGCAATGATATAAAACAAAATATCACCGTAAAGACATGCATGTCATTGACTCTCATTATTTATCCCAGGAAAATATTGCGCTCTCTTCTACCCTCTCCACTTAGATTTGATTTAATCTATTGTCAAGGCAGCTTAGATTAGAACTTAAGAAAATAAAAAATCCTGTTGCAAAACATTTCCAAATGAATGCCCAGAATCTCAGTGGGAGATCTCACTTACAAAACTGATGAGCATGACACTGTGTGTGTGTGTGTTTGTTTGCTTGAATGTGCTAGCCAGTGAGTGATGCTGTGTTTCTCAGGAGTGCTAGCAGGCCAACTGAAGACAGAAGGCAAAGCAGCACAGCTCCGCACCATATGCCAAATATGAGCCTGTCTGCCAGCTTGTGTGTGTGTGGTGGTGGTGGTGGTGGTGGTGGGGGGGTGTACTGGCAAGTGCTAGGGAAGCTGAGTCTTGACAGAGGAAAATGAATAATTGAACATGTGTGGAGCGGAGTTCTGTTGGAATTGAGCGCCATGCCTTTATGTGCAGAGAGGGGTAATGGAGACTATGAGGCAGTCTGTGGGCACAGTCTGTGTGAGGGTGGCGATGTGTTTGCTGTTTGTAAAGCACACACACACACACACACACACACACACACACACACATATATATATATATATATAATTTAATTGTATAACTTCAAACTATGTTGTTCTATACAATACGTCTTTTATGTGACACCTAGGATGTCAGTGTGATTTTGACACAGTTTCTGTAATAGTTGGTCACTGGGTTTTTCAAATTAAGGTGAATAAGGAGATTTGTTGTGTTGCTGAACAGCGATGACCTCAGAGTGAATTTACTTCACTGTTCTATTGACTAAACACTGCTACTGATCTTCTCTTTCTTCCCTCTTTACTCCCACTGACTGTTTAGAACAAAACCAGCACGGCGTGTGTGTTTCTGCCCTCCTGTAGGGTGGATGGTTGAGGGTGCAAGGCAGTGCAAGAGTACATTTGTAGAGCGTACTGTTGTACAATGATTTCAACAATAATCCTTGTGTCGATTACAGTGTTTTGGTGATCACTTGGATTTCAAATGGAAATTACAATTCGACTGTGATGTAGCGCTCGTAATAACTAAATGTCTAAAAACGTCTTCAGGCAAGATCTTTTCACTGATGACAATTTGGTAAATTTGATGGTTAGAGATAATAAGTTGTTTTGATAACTTCGGTTTAGTAATAATTGGTTTTTACTTCTGCTCTGGGCCAAGGCTATGATAGTCTTATGTTTGTAATTGTTAAATATGTTTAATTTCTGTGCCTTAACACAATGTTAAAGCAATTAAATCATCGACATAATTTATTCCTCACCATGTAACTTCACTGGAGGACATGGAACGGGTTGAACTGAGATGTCAGGATTTGTCACTGCTGCCTATATTTCTGTCAAAAGCCTTGACTACAGGACCAAGGTCTTGGTTAATACCGCCCACGTTGATAAATGTAAGCTCCATTCACTTGCAATGTTTCACAGTTCCCTTGTGTTTCATGGAGAGATCATTAAGCACGAGTGCAACAGCTACATCAAGTATTTGAAGATAATGATGAATCCCTCTGCTCTGGGCAATGAGAAATTTATGTATATATATATATAAAAAAATGAAATATTCGGGTTAAATGGTGTTGTCTTGATAATGGACAAAGACAAATGTGAGCAACTACTCACATTTTCTCCGACAGTAGCTTTAGCCCTTACTGTACATGTCACTGTCTCACTATTGGCTGTGACTTAGAAATTGATCTGTTTGGTTTCCCCGTTTAACTGTGACTTCAGTATTGCAATGACACATTCATGCATTCTAATTATTGTCTTCTCTTCCTTTTCCCTATGGTGCTGTCCTCGCTCTGACACAGATACAACCCTTTCAAGCGACCGGGGTGAGTAAAGCCGCATCAAACTGCTTAGATTTGAGGCCCACAGATTGTGTACTTTGTGTTTTTATTTTATTTTATTTATTTATTTTTTATTATTAAAAATTAAAGTTGTTAAAAACATTTGAAATAACAAATCAGACATGTGACGTTTTACCCAGTTTCATATTTTATCCCCTGTTGACTCCTGAGGTGTTTATGAAGATGCTGATAACAAGTGATGTGTCACGCCTGCTCGAATAAGACAGAGTAGTGTGTGGTCTTGATGTTGCTGTAATTTCAGTTTCAGATTTCATTTTGCATGCTGGGCTGTTATTAATGGCTTCCTGTTGTTAGGAGGGCAATGTAATCACTTTATCAAATGGACTTGGAGAGAGAGAGAGTGAGAGAGAGAGAGAGCGTCCATCTGCAGCACTTGCTTTACACGTGTCTTTGTACGTGTGTGTTTTCGTACGTGTGTGTTTCGTGCTTGGTCCGGCTAGACATCTGGTTGGCCCCGTACACAGCCTAAAATCACCTGCGTCAGCCACTCCTTCACTTGGGCACTGCTTAATGTGCATAAAGACGCTCCCACGTTTTATCATCAGGGGTTCAGCGCGGCGCCAAGACAAGACAGGATCTTGCTGAAGTTGCTGTCTGCCCCTAAATGTTAGTAGTTAAGGATGAAATTTGCTGAGAAATGAAATGCGGAAATATACACAATACACAGAAGACAGGAAACCAAAGGTGCAGGGTCAGTTTTTAGGAATAATCTACCTGGCAACAGGGACGTGTGGTAAAACATGTATAAAATATTTAGGCTTCATTTGCTATGGAAGTATGTGTAATTAAATCTCCGACCAGGGAAATTTCATTTTACAGTAGAAACTTAATTACAGGTGGGAATTTGTTTTGTTTTGTCTTTAAACCTCTGCTGTTCTCAACTATCATTCAGCTTTTACTTAAAAAAAACAAGTTCTACTTCTCATCATTAAAAAGTCACAGAATATGAATGAAGGACAAGAAAGGGTGATAGCAATGAATGAGTGAAGAGCTTAAGGCTAGTGAGGGTAGCAATGTTAGGACAAGGTCTGCATGTCCTTGGTTCATTCAGAATAAGCAGCCAGCCAGCAGGCGGCCTGCCAGTGGAGTGGACAGCTGATATTTATACCATCACTGGCCACAGAAAAATATCACTCAGCTGGATCTGTGGATCAGTGTCTTTGGATAAACAACACAGATATACAGTTTTTAGTATGTCTGTTGCACAGCACAGTTGGGCACATGGGCACTCTTTCACTGTATATTGTTGTGCCTAACAAGCTTGGTGCTGCCTGCTCAGCAGTCACGGGTGTGTGTTGGAGATTTCGGGTAGGTCTTCTACCCTCAATGTGACTGCTGGCACATCCTCTTACAGCTTAATTGGCTGTACCTGAGGCAGGAGGGCAAGGTGTAATTGTGATAAGAGAAAATGCTGTGCTTAGCTGGTTTTCTATAATCTCAGGATTGATTAGATTTTTTTTTTCCCAGGGTGCAAACTGTTTAACTCTATCACATGCACCAAGAGCTGTGTTACTGCTGCCTAGGCCAAACTGTTGTGGCAACTGTAAACTAAACACCGTGTAAACTGATGATTGGGTTACATTTTTTTTTTGACCACCTCATCAGAGCAGAAGTAAGAGGAGGATTTTTCTGTGAATGTAGAGCAATTGCCCTACGTCCTCCGTAAAGTCACTCTGACAGCAGTCGATAAGGTGGAAGATGTAACCAGTAACCAGTTGGAATTTTATTCCACAGGGAGTTGAACCCTGAACATGAAGCGACAGGAAAACGTAGCTCATTAACAGATCACTTTAATACATAATCATTTATGTTTTTCTACAAACAGAAAAAAAAACGTGTGTTTGTATTTACAGTATAGAGAAGTAATTATAAATGTATATTTAGGCATTCAGGCTATGGTTAATAGAGGTGATGTTGATACACTGCTCAATAACCATGATTAAAGACTATTATAATGTATTAAATACACATATAAGAGAAAATATTGCTTCAAACCTGATCTGAAAAAAACATTTTAATTCACCCTACTTTGAGTTGAGCATTACTTTGCAGTTAGCAAATGGAATAGCCGAGAGAGACGAGGAATAAAATGCATCGTTCTCCTGACTAATTAAATAATCTGCCCATTTATTAGCTCCAATACTTTTATATTTTTACTATTTTACTATTTACAGATACTGACACATCAGGCAACCAGAGCTGAACAACAGTTCTATGGAAAACACTTAATTCTAAACCGGTATGAAGCATTAAATAGAAAATAATAACAGGTTGTGTCAAAGTGTGGCATACTTGACTGGAGTGGGTTGCAATCTTGAAGGTGCACTGAGCAGAATTTGCCTGGAGAGGCGTCAGGCAGAGGGCCATCAGTTTAATACTAGTCTGTCCTGACAAGATTCTGGATGCACATATGTGTTTGCTAATTATAGAGCCAAGCCCTGGGACAATTAATAAATTAGATTAGATTAGATTAGATTAGATTAGATTAGATTAGATTAGATTAGATTAGATTAGATTAGATTAGATTAGATTAGATTGTCATTGTACATGTCAGGGCTACAGAGCAAAGGATTGCTACAGTACAAGTAATTAATTAATAATTAAGTAATCAAAAGTTTTTTTGTATGCTGCAATATTACTTTTACCCTCTGATGGGTTAATTGTCTTATAGTCATTATCTCTTTTATTCAGGATGCAGCTATTAAATTTATTTGAGTGCCGCTCTCTCCCCCGTCTGTGGGTCCCCATTCACACTTCCTGTCTTTCACTACTCCAGAGTAGCAGTTAAGGCTGAAAGAGAAGCTAATGGGCTGCAAAATATCTCCAGTACTAGAGCAATGACAGAAACTAATGCCAGAAAACCCTTTAAAATAAAAAAAAATAAAAAAAAGTGGTGAAGAATCCTGACAGTGCAATAAAAAAGGGTGTGGGGGGAGGGAAGGGGGGTTGTCCTGGTTTTCTCTAATGTGTCATAGAGGCCATATCTTTCAGTTTAATTGTAGTGAGGCTTTTTGAGCAGCCTTGCTCTAATGGTGTAATTGCCACCATGTTGGCTCCACTCAGTGGGATATTCTTTTGTCTATAACTCAAGTGTCTTGTGGGCAGTACAGTGTTCCGTGTTGCTGCTGAACTCTTCGGTCTGCCTGAGTCCTGTGCTCACGAGTGCACGGATATTGACAAGAGCATGTGAAATATTACAGGGTTTATATTTTTACCAGGACAAGTTGATTTACCTGTACTGCATTAAAGCAATGTTGCCAAGTAAATCAAGGGATATGATTTCACGGCTCGCCTTAATGGTGATAATATGAACCTGTATATCACCCGTGGAACAGTCTTCCTAGAATCCCATATGTTTTATTGTACAACAGGGATAACAGAAATAAATATTACATGTGTGCGTTTGTGGATAGCTTAATCAAATGGAATTCTTTATGTTTTTAAACATTTTTCTTCTCAGCTCTCAGTCTCCTCTCTTGCCTCAGTACCAATTAAAACCGATTTTATGCAGCTGGTTTTAAGTTGATGAAGACAGCCACCCTGAATTTCAAGAAGTAAAGTCACCCCGGATCTGTATGACAGATGGTTGGAGTTAGAGGATAAGCATAAGAGAAGGAGAAAAAAAAACACAAGCACCAAACTGGCAGCATGAGGAGGCCCTGTTTTTTTATTCGATTTGAAACTTTCCGTTTCTAAATTTTCAAACTTTTTCTTAAAAAAGCGCTGTCAAACCTGCTGGAGAAAAGGGAAAACATAAGATCTTGTTCTGCTGACATTTTTTTTTGCACAGCACCTTTCAAAACCTACCCAGACAACTCAAGTATTACATGATAAAAGAAAAAGTGCTGGGAGCTGCTTGGTTTCACAGCTTTGACCAACTCTCCTAGTTGAATGAAAACAAGCTTAACTGCAGCCTCTACAAAGAAATGAGGCTGCAGCAAATCAATTCCTGGAGGACACTGCCTAATGGTTACAAGTCCAGATTTCCCCACTGGAATACATGTTTCAGAATGATAAGGTTTGATCAGTGTTTTTAGAGAAGACGCTTTCCCAATATGCAGATGAGACCGCAAAGGAAAATGGTGGGAACAATGGCCTCGGGCTTTGGGCTGATTTTTAAACAAGGAAAGAGTTTTTATTTTGCTCAACAAATGTTCTCAGTCCTTTGTAATTGAATGAGAAATGAGAAACGTTTGACAACACGTTTTCATATAAAAATTGAAATTTTGCCAGTTATACTGCAACACGTACCTTCCTTGTCAGATTACTGCAATTTCATGAGCAACAACAAGAGGATGTTTTCAGTTTTCTGTTTACTTCTCACAGAACTGTATGTGATTTATTTTTAACGAGGAGCTAAAAAAATCATCAATATTTCTAACATTGTTTTTTCTCATCAAGCCTAAAATTTGGTTTTAGAGATGCTTAGTTCTAGACTAGTTTAGAGAAAGTTTGTCTGTTTGTCTGTCTGTATGTCCATCCATCCATCCATTCACCCATCCATCCATATACCTTCTACTACTTCAGGGTACAATGGTCAGTCCACTGTTAAAACATTTACTATTAAATACAGTAACACGATGAAGTACCATCTTTTTGTAGCTTTAGCCAAAACTGAATTTCTACTTTTCAGTGTTTCTGAAATAGTCTAGTTTTTGTCCATAAATGACTGATTAAATTGAGTTCAAGTGTTGTGTTAGAGTTTTCTGGGACCCTATAGTACTAACACCATGTGTTATTATGAGTACAGGAAATTGTAGTTATGCACTTCACTAAGTCATTACTACCTGCTGAGTAACCCTTTCACATTCCCAGTGCATCGCCCCCTTTATTTCTCTCACACTGTAGGTTTTTTTTTCTTTCTTCTCTTTCGACACAGTAGCTTTAAAGGCTTGTGAGGCAAAACTAAACTGGACCAGGCAAATCCCTACACAATTACAGTGCAGGGGCCATTATTATGGCCC